GTATGCTGAGCTGAACTGCGTGTAATAGACATAACTATACCTTCATTCATTCACTCAGTAAATCATCTGGAGTGACTATCACGTTTCCTGTCCTGTGTTAGGGGCTATGGGACACAATCTTTGTTCTCCAGGTGCTTCCAATCAAGGAGCAAAAAATTATTATCACTGGTGGCTCAGATGGTAAAGAATCTGCCTGCAATGTGGGAGACCCAGGTTTGATCCTTGGGTCAGGAAGATTCCTTGGAAAAGGGAATAGCAACCCACTCCAGTATTCTTGCCTGGAGAATCCCATGGACAGTGGAGCCTGGTGGGCTACAGTCCATGAGGTTGCAAAGAGTTGGACACAACTGAGCAACTAAGCAGCAGCACTATAGTATTTATCATTAACAATTTGTTTGGTTTATTATTTTTATTTTTTTGCACTGGGTCTTTGTTGCTGCTTGTGGGCTTTCTCTAGTTGTGGCGAGCAGGGGCTATTCTTCATTACAGTGTGCAAGACTGTCTCTGACCTACGAGAGACAGGATTCTCACTGCAGTGTCTTCTCCTATTACAGAGCCCAGGCTCTCGGCACACGGGCTTCAGTAGGTGCAGCACTTGGGCTCAGTAGTTGCAAGCACACAGCTCTGAGGCATGCAGCCTTCAGTAGTTACACTCTTAGTCTCTAGAGCACCGGCTCCGTAGTTGTGGTGCACAGGCTTATTTGCTGTGGAATCTTCCCAGACCAGGGATCGAACCCATGTCCCCTGGACTGGCAGGTGGATTCTTATCCACAGGGCCCCCAGGGAAGTCCATAATTATCATTACTAAATAAGACTAACTGCAAAATTTCACCAAGGACAAATAATGAATTCACCAGATGAAGCAGGAAACATACAATTCAACCTAGTCTCTGTCTGGTGATCTAAAAGTCTACAGAGAAGATGAAAATATGTGGAGAGAACAAAAGGAAAGGTTGATTTTAGGGAAGAAATTTCAAAAGCATTTGAAATTTTTGGTAAATTTCAAATGGTATTACTTCATCTGAATGTGATGGTGCTTAACTGAAATCCACACAACAAAGTTGGTTGGTTAAAAAGCACTCTTTTGTATAGAAACAGACTTAGGGAAGATATTCGAAAGGTTTCAGAAAATATACCTTTTTGCTAAGTCTGTGTCTCCTCACATCTAAAAGACAGGAGTGTGGAAATAGAGGTAGTTTCCTTAAACTGTTTATAGAAATCAGATTCCACTGTGACGAGCACATCCTAACAACTATTTACTGAGCTGTCTTGGGGGAGGGCGGCGTTAAAGAAAGGGTGATGGACATACGTGTCATCTTCATTGTAGTAATGGGTCTGACAGGTATTTGCATATGTTGAAACTCATCAAATTGTGAACTTGGAATATTTGCAGTTTATTTGATGTTAATTATACCTCAATAAAGCTATGAGGAAAAGTTTCCTAAACACTTGAGATGTAGTCTGTAGACAGCAGCATCAGCCCAGAAAGCTTATGAGAAATGCAGACTCTTGGGCCTCCCTCCTAAGTCAGAAATTTGCAGATTCTCATACACATTAAATTTGACCTCTTGTAGTGAATGTCTAGAACTCATTTCCCACCATGAGTTGTTAATGGAAAATTATAGTCCCTACTCTGTTTTAGTCACTAAGAGCAACTTCCTGCTGGGCATTCTTTGATGGTTACATTAAGAGGTTTACATGTTTGCTCTAGAGAATGAGCACATTTTCAAGAATTTTCAATATGTTAAAGTCCAAACCAATTTTAAAAAGTCAATAATTACTAGTGTATCATATTTTACCTGTCCATCTTTCTAGGTGTGTTCTATAGGCTTTAATATTTACAGTGCTTTGGAAAAAAATATTTTCTGATTACAAAAGAAATGCTTATTATAGTAAACTTGGGAAACAGAATCTGTAATTCTAGGAAGTAGCGTTATATTTAACATTATCACCCTCAAAAGTTACTGAAAACTAAAGGTCGACTACAAAAAGGTAATGTATATATGACTTCTTGGAGGCAATGCCTTATATTCTAACATGAATATTTTTTAAATAATTAAAGCTAAATCTAAAGATCCCAGCTAAGTGGAAAAACTCACTGGGCTTGGAATAGCAGAATTCATTTTGAGACATGGGTTTACCATAGATTAATGAAGCTTAAGCTTCAGGGCGCCTCATTTGCACGGGTCACTTCCAAAGCCCTTGGACAGACCCTGGCAATATATTTACTAGGTCAAAAGTTTCTGTAAAAGTTTCTAAATTAAGATAGTTAAGACCATCATCACATTGTATTCAAACTTCCATCATTTCTCTTCTGCAGTAAATGGTGCAGGAATAGCTACTGGCTTTTTTGAGACCTGACTAAGGGAACAATGATTGACTTAGGGATACATTTCATTTGGGTTTAGAGGCATGCATTTATGGTTTGCAGTTATTTCCATCTACTGTTAAATTATTATTCACCGTGGGTGTAGGAATGGCTTTCTGGAATTCACCTACTGCCCATTATGCCAACTCAGCCAGCACCATGTCACAGAGGTACAGGGCTAGAGGCAGAAGAGTTCTGTGATGCCGGGCACAGAAAATACATGGGTGACAGAGGAGAAACAAGGTTTGAAAGAAGAGGAGAAACTAGCCCATTAAAAAATCCTTCCCACTCTCAAAAGTAAAAAACTCTTAAGTGGAGGGATCAATTTTCTCAATGCCTAACCTAAAATGAAGGTTCTCATTCATCAGGAATCTAAGTAATGTCATATATTCTACTGCAAGTGCGCTGTATTTTTGTTTTTGTGTGAATCATACAAAATGGAATATATTAGAATTCTTATATCTATGGAAAACAAACCTGCAGTTGTTTTACCGAAAGGTATGCGTGGGGAGTCCAGCTGCTCGGCACTCAAAAGCCAGTCAACAGGCCAGGTTGGTAGAAAAGAAAGTTTGCTTTATTTCAGATGCTGGCGACTCGGGGGGAGGGTGGCAGACATCTGTCCAAAGACCGACTCCCCCCCCAACAAGCAGGGGGTGAGAGCATTATAGACAGAGTGGGCGGGGGTGGGGGGGGCTACATGCAGAAACAGCACAGTCATCTTCAAATTGGTCATCAGTGGTCTGACTAGCATCATCTTGGTTCTTTTAGGTACAGTTAATCTTCAGTTCTGGGGTGCACTTGTTCCCATTTCTTTGGGGACATTTCTTGGAATTGTGGCAGCTCAAGCCCTAGGTACAGTCTGGTCATCATGCAGTTAACTTCTCCTGATGTTTTAGTATCTATAAGACAGCTCACAGGATATGGCTCAGAATATTATCTATAGCCCTTGAGAAAGAACTAAGGGTCCTTAAGTGTGCTTGATGACCACATTATTATTATTTAGTCTCCTTATACTGTTTTCCTTTGTTTCAGCATTTCTCACTTCTCAGATTAAACTTATTCTTTGACTAAAGTTTTCCACAGGAAAAAGGCAGGCATATGGCCCTGCTCCACCGCAGTTGTACTACAGTAAGTCTGTATGTGAAGTCACATGTTTTATTCATCTTAAGGAGACCCTGTCTTAACATAGATAAATCTTGCCCTGAAGAGTACTAGAGATCCAAGAAAAACTAAGCAATAAATTGCCACTGAAACAGCCAAACAGTTCTGAAATATTATAGCTCATATATGAGAGACGCTTCATACATGTTTTCCTAAATTTCACAATAATCCTAAAAAAGTAGTAAGTTGCGAATCTAAAATTTATAAACAATAATAAAAAACAAATTGTGATCACCATGTTAAAAAGACAATACTGATTTTTCTATTTTCTTTACAGAAAGCATTAAAAAATAACTGTCATAGAAAAGTGATCAAAAGTATACAAAAACAGTGGGAAAAATGATTGTAAACGGTGCCCCAAAAGTCTTGAGTTCAGTTCAGCTCAGTCGCTCAGTCGTGTTCAACTCTTTGCGACCCCATGAATCGCAGTAGGCCAGGCCTCCCTGTCCATCACCAACTCCCGGAGTTTACTCAAACTCATGTCCCTGGGGTAGGTGATGCCATTCAGCCATCTCATCCTCTGTCGTCCCCTTCTCCTCCTGCCCCCAATCCCTCCCAGCATCAGGGTCTTTTCCAATGAGTCAACTCTTCGCATGAGGTGGCCAAAGTATTGGAGTTTCAGCTTCAGCATCAGTCCTTCCAATGAACACCCAGGAAAGTCTAGAGACACAGATAAGTAAATATACGTAGTTGTCAAGAGCATTTTTAATCTTAAAAGAAAACTACGTTTCTGGGTTTTTTGACACCCTGTAGAAGTGCGTCAGGCAGTTAGTAAAAATTTTATGGTTTATCTGTGTGACGGTTGTGAGTTTTGCTAACCTTTCAAATGTCACTTGTGAATTCTTTCTCATTCTATATATTCACTTCCCTAACTCTCTGCTTCTAACTTTTTGCTTTTTAACTAAACAGGGACCCCACAAATTGTATGAGCTCAGTTCCCGCAAAACCAGGATGTGCTCTACGCGTCTCAGAAATCTCGGGATTTCTCTGCAGCCTGTTTCTTGCTCAGAAAAAAAAAAAAAAAAAAAAGGCATTTGCTGGGCATCTCCTTAAGAGTTACCAACAGTTTCTCCAACCAAACCACACAACTCTACAAATGGGGAGGGTCTGACCCGAAGGGTAGGTCGCCCGCCAGGAGTCACCCTCTTCGCACAGACTGCACGCGGGTCCCATCCGACCCCGCCCCTGCTGGACACCGCGAGCTGCGGCAAAGAACGGCAGGGCCGGGGCCTCTGGGCGTAGCACCAGCCCTTGGGAAGAACGAGGGCCGGAAGGGGACCGGGTGAGGCTCGAGATGGGGCGTTCGAAGGCCGCCGGGATGGTGAGCGGGGCGGGTGGTGGAGGAGCGCAGCCCACCGACGACCCCCGGGTTGGGGGCGGGGCACCAGGCCGCAGCCCCTCTCCGGGAACTCTATCGCCTACTCAGCGGCGGAAGTTCCGGTGTTGGTGAGCGGAGGTCAGAGGTCAGCAGGAAGTCGATACGTGGCCGCCGCCTGTCCCCGCCGAGGAGGCGCAGCAGGCGGAGATGGCGGCGGTGCTAAACGCAGAGCGACTTGAGGTCTCCGTCGACGGCCTCACGCTAAGCCCGGACCCGGAGGAGCGACCCGGCGCTGAGGGCGCCCCGCTGCTGCCGCCGCCGCTGCCGCCGATGCCGCCGCCCTCGCCTCCAGGGTCCGGCAGGGGCCCGGGCGCCGCAGGGGAGCAGCCAGAGCCTGGGGAGGCGGTGGCCGGGGGCGCGGCGGAGGAGGCGCGGCGGCTGGAGCAGCGCTGGGGCTTCGGCCTGGAGGAGCTATACGGCCTGGCCCTGCGCTTCTTCAAAGGTGAGCTGGACAGGCCCCACCCCCGCCGCCTCTGCCGGGCCTTGGAGAGACTGGACCCGAGTAGCCCTGACCTACCCGTGCAGGACCCCGGCGACCGGAGCTGGGCTCTGTCCTTGGGGGTACTCGAAGTTTGTCACTATGCGCTTGGTCACTAGGTCACACCCCTTGGGGCCTGGAACCTTGGTTTAGCTTTCCGGGTCCTGTCTCCCGGAGGTTACCAGGCATCTTACCTAGATTTAGCTTCTCGGTTTTCCAGGATCCTGGATGGAAGAATGAGTTCTCTTTCCCAGAGGTTCCCTATCTGGGATTTTTTTTTTTTTAACCGTCGCGTTCTTTTTCTTGTTTCTTGTGTATTTGGCACGTCAGAACCACCGATTTTTGCTCTTCTATAGTGGAAGAAATTTTTTTATGGGTTCCATTCTTACGCTTTCCATTCATTCTGGGGATCCATAAACTCGAATAGGGCTTAATCACCTGGCAGTATTCATGTGGCAGAGAGAAAGAAGTTAAGTGTTCAGCTAATCCCTTCTAGTTGTCAAACTCTAAATTAGAGAAGGGATAGCTGCTGTGGTCTAGCGACTTCTCGATGGTTAAAATTTTTCCAGTGTCCAAGAGTGGATTCTCAGATTAAGGCCTAAAAGTAGCCTCTATATTTCTCACCGAATTAATTGTAGTAAATCTTGTCTTAGAGCAAAATTGTGGTCTTGGATTTGTTTTTGTTTTTTTTTCGGGGGGGGGGGGATGATGGTTCACTTAGTGAAATGGTGAGTCACATGACCTTGTCAGTGGGAAAGACTGATGAGCTATTTAGATCTCGTGGGGCAGACGAAAAGGGAGGAATTTCGGCAAATGAAACTTTAAAAGTGGTTGCTAGGTTCTATATACATTCCAGAACAGCATATTTATGACCTTTCCCCAGAGGGAGTACCTTTTGGAGTACATATTTTACTAGCTGAAGTTGAGTCGTTGGTGATACATTCAAAAGTTAGTTTTCTCTGAAAATAATTGTGCAAACTGATGATAGTCTTTCTTGTATAAATTTTACAGAAAATTTAGTCGTTCTCCATTCGTTGCATTTAAAAAAATTTTTTTATTGGAGTAAAAAATGGTTTTACAATGTTAGTTTCGGCTGCACGGCAAAGTGAATCAGCTGTTCGTGTGCATACATCCCCTGGTTTTGGGGTTTTCTTCCCCTTTAGGATTGAGTAGAGTTCTCTCTGCTCTACAGCAGGTCTCGTTGGTTATTTTATATACTGTAATGTGTATGTGTCAGTCCATTCTCCTAATTCATCCCACCCCCCAGCTCCCCTTCTGGTATCTATAACTCCTTTTTCTATTAAAAAGTTTACCCTTTAAATATTCATGGTCGTTGGGCCAAGAGTTCAGCCCTCTGCTAGTTTGGGGAATTGGTAATGGCTACTGAGTTTTGGAACACTTGACCCTTAGATCACTGGCTTGAATTTAGAGTTTCCTGCGGTGAGGATATACTACCGATGACATAAAAACCTGGTGGTTTCTGTAGAATTTATATAACTATATTTTACTCTAAATTTTTATTCTTGGTACTGATTTTTCCAGTGTACGATAAGATTAAAGTGTATCTTAGCAGAACAATGTGTAAGAATAGAGAAGAATGAACTTCTAATCCTAACTTTTGCCATATGACAAAGAAATAAATGGATAATTTTATCTTCTGAGTCTGTATTATTTGAAGGTAGTAGTAGTAATTTTTCTTCTTTGAAAAATTAAAACACTGTTAATGCGCAATAAATCTAGCATTGTTTGGGAGTCAAGAAGCTCTGGACTCTTTTTACTTTTTTTAAAGTCATTCAGTCACGTCAGACTTTGCGACCCCATGGACTATACAGTCCGTGGAATTCTTCAGGCCAGAATACTGGAGTGGGTAGCTTTTCCCTTCTCCAGAGGACTTTTTTTTTTTTTTCTTAATAGCCTGCGTGATCCCAATTCCCCAACCACGGATTGAACCCAGGCCATAGCAGTGAAAGTACTAAGTCCTAACCACTGGACCGTCAGGGAAATCCCTCTCAATTCTATTAACCTACTCCTAGCCAATTAACTTTTTTCTTTCAGACTCAATTTGTTTATAGATAAAGATACATATGGCTGGATTAAATGAAATTTGACATCTCACATTTAGTGCTCTAAACCTCCCATTATTTTAACAATTTGTCAAATGGAAAGACTCCTAGGGGAACCAGTAATTTAGGAACCTAGTTATAGTCACCTTAAAGAGAAGAAGCTACATTGATAGATACAGTTCAGGAAGTTTCAAAGTTAAGCTCTCAAAGTGGAATCCAGGTGCTTAAAAGAGAAACGACAGTCTGAAGATTAAAAGCTACATTTTTGCATGGATCATTACATAGTTAGCAGTGAAGAAGCTATTAGTATATGAGGTTCCTGATATAGGTTAGGGGGAGGGAGGAAGGATCTAAAAGCAGTCAGAAGGGTTATGCAAAGTAGGGTGAGTCAAGTGTTGCTGCCTTTGAATTAATGTGTGAAAAACTTTTTCCTGCATAATACTTGACATTTTTATCAGTCTTGGGGCTTTAATAAATCACTCTTTTATGGTTTTGTATCTCACATGAATTAGAAATAACATTACAGTTTATCTTCTGCTGTGGAATAAATATGAATCTTGAAAGCATGGGTATCTTTTTCTATTGCAAATAACTTGGATTAAGAATCAGGAACCCTGTTTCTTATTCTGTCTCTATCACAGTGATCATAGGCCAGTGACTGAACCCATTGTGTCAACTGCCTATCCTCTTAGTTTTTGATGGTAAAAGTGAAATAATAGGTGAAAATATTGGCAAATGTAAGTTAGCATTTTATCACCTAAGCTGAGTTGTTGAATCCTTACTATGGATAAAGTTTTATCCATAATCTGTTCTATCACTGTAAATGAACAGTATATTCCCTTTTGCTATTATGAAATTTATAGTCCAAGGAATTAAAGCCTCAGTGGCAACTGCAACACTGTGGAGGATCCAGAGGGCAGATGTCCTTCCAGGGAAGGGGAAGTTCTGTGTGTCTAGGAAATGGCAAGTAGGGATTAGGTAGTTTGAAGGAGAGAACTGGGAAGCTAAATTGGTGTCATATCCATGTAAGAACTTGAATGGCATTGTAAATAGCCTGTTTGTCAGACCGTGAGGAACCATTGAAGGTTTTTAAAAGGAGGAGCAAAGTTGCCCTACTCTAGTTTAGCAAGATTAAGCTGATTTTCTTCTCTCTTTGGGTTAAGGACTAAATCGGTTGCCTTTACTGAAGCCTTTATACTTTTTGGTTATAGTTAACCTGGGAAGTTGTTTTTGGTTTTTAGAATTCTTAGAAGTGAGGTTTTCCTTCTCTAATAACCTCACTCCATTAGCTGATGAGTGGTTGCATTCATTTAAAATTCTAGACTAATAATTACCACCAGTTATTGAGCAGATGTTTGCTAAATATCAGGTACTATTTTGAGAGCTCTTACTATTGATCCTCAAATTGTACCATCTTCAGCAAGTGGTAGGTCTCTTCAGATTGGCTCCTAAATTCCTTTGCATGACTAGTAGTCTTCCATAGCTTCTTTGCTCTCTGGTGTAATGAAATAGTTCAGATTCATCGTATGCATTTCCTGCCTCCATTGGAATCAGCCATTTCTCCAAAGAGACTTGGTTCCTTTAATGGAAAGTGGCATTTGAAGAACCGTAATCAGGATGTTAGCAGTGGGCACTCATTGCTACTAGGTTGGTCATTATTTCAGTAGACAGATCTAGGAGTGTGTGTGTGTGGGTGGGGGTGTGTGGAGTGATAAGTTTTTGAGAGTATGATATGTAAAAGGAAGCTGTAGTCGAATTTGGAGGGAACTAAAGTTTTAGACTCAGCTTTTCTATGGAATTGTTAATGCATTTCCACTAACATTGCTATCTATTACATGGTGTTATATTGCTGATAACAGAGAAGCAATTATATGGACATACTGAATGGTTCCATTTTCTTTTGTCCTTAAACATATGCACTTGCAAGAACTTTTATAAATGGCTCCATTAATGTTTTACTCTAAAGCTGTAATTTATTCTTCGGTGACACATATGATTAGTGTCTGCCTCCTGGACTTAAGTGGACTAGCCTCAGATAATTTCAGGTTTAATTGTTACTACTGAATATCTGTTAAATTTTGAGTATATTTTCCTCTTCTTTATTGTCTTTAGGTATAAGTGTATAGCATAGGAGGATATATAGACCTGAGACAAAGAAAGAAAATTTTACCACCGGGAATATAATGCCTTTTAAACATCTTCTTATTTGCTATTTCATATTAAATTTGAACTGAACTAAAATTTTCCTTTGAATATGGGGTATTCAAGGATATATACATATATATGTTTATACTTAGGATGTTTTATTGTGATTTTAATAGCTACCTGAGGCCTCCCCTTTGTTTACTACCCTTGCAGAAAAGTATATGAATCATAAGTGATGCTTGATGAATTTTTGCAAATGAGTACACTTTGGTAACCAACCCTCAGAAGGAGATAATGTTTACTTTTATCAGTTAGCTAAAATGAGAGCTTCTCTGCTTCAGTACTTAGGAAGTTGAGCTCTGGAGTGAATACTACCTGGGATTCAGTTCAGTTCAGTCACTCAGTCGTGTCCGACTCTTTGCACCCCTATGAATCGCAACATGCCAGGCCTCCCTGTCCATCACCAACTCCCGGAGTTTACTCAAACTCATGCCCATCGAGTCGGTGATGCCATCTAGCCATCTCATCCTCTGTCGCCCCCTTCTCCTCCTGCCCCCAATCCCTCTCAGCATCAGGGTCTTTTCCAGTGAGTCAACTCTTTGCATGAAGTGGCCAAAGTACTAGAGTTTCAGCTTCAGCATCAGTCCTTCCAATGAATACCCAGGACTGATCTCCTTTAGGATGGACTGGTTGGATCTCCTTGCAGTCCAAGGGACTCTCAAGAGTCTTCTCCAACACCACAGTTCAAAAGCATCA